TGGTGGCAGGGGAGGTTATGGTGGCAGGGGAGGCTATGGTGATCCATACGGTGGAAGAGGAGGGGGAGGATACCGAAGATACTAAAATATTGTAAATATTAACAGAGTAACTGGCAAAATATAGTGGTGGTGTTTACTGGTATCAGGAATTTAGATATGTTAACTGGGTTTAGGTTAGAATTAAGTATGACCATGTGAATCATTGCATTAGACCAACTGATGTTGTCATTGAATTCTTTTAGTTAACTTAACAGAACTTTTGTACTAAAGTGTGATGACTAAAGTCCTTGTTTTTCGTACTGCTCATATGGTGTTTTTTAATATGTCATTCTATTTAAAATAAGCCTCAGAAAACGGAATAAAACCCTTTCTAAACAAACAAAAAAAATGTTATTTGATGTTCAGCCCTCTGTAATTATTGCATGTTGCATGTCCAGTCCCTGCTCCAAAATGCTGTGTAGAACAAAACAAAATAGGTCTAAGAACCGGATGGAAACACTTTTAAAAGACTCTAGAATGCTGCTTTCAGGCTTTTTCTCTTCATCTGGTTTTCATGTGGGATGTGTAAACAAATTTTAATGTCAAATGTTAAAATCCTTAAGGCTTTGGTCAAAACTATTCACTTAGCTATGTTTCTTATTCTTTCAGAACTTTACATAAAAGTAACATTCTGAATTAATACTCTCAGAAACTAATAAAATCAGGTTGGTTTGTGTGTTCATAAATATATCAGAGACTATTTGAAGGTCAGAGCGTGTACCATAAAGTCAGAATCATGGTGAGTTTTGATAGTCTCTATTTTCATTTTACCTGTTTTCCATTTTTTTGGTGTTTCATAAAAAAATTTTAAGATCAGACTGGGCAGGAAATTTCTGCAGCGATCATATCCGGTGAGAATTCATTTATATATTCCTTCTGAATCAGCCTTGAGACATAAAGGTTGAATAAGCTGAGCTTCTTGAGAAAGAACATACCATTTCTTTCCCCCCCTTTGAAAAAAAACACCCCCTTTTTTCCCCCCCCCCCCCCTTTTTTTTTTTCCCCTCCCCTGCCTGCTCCATGTTTGGGAATCGCCAGCTGCCCAGCTAATAAGACATCTCATGCAGCAGCTGCCCTTCCTCAGTGACTTCTCTCTCTCTTACTCTGCCAACCAATTGGTCTGATAACGTAAAAGAAACTCTGTCTTGATACGGTATGGGTGCCTTCTCCTTCACAGACAGTGTTACTCTAGAAGAAGGAGTTAGCTTTCACACAATTATGGCTGTAAATACATCTAGACAAGAATTAAATTTAGAGTTGTCGGTTAAAGAAAGACGACAGTTTCTGTTGTCCAGCGTCTTTTAGGTCTCCTCCCCTGCTGTGAGGCCACTCCTGAGTACAGAGGTGGAACAGGGAGATGACACCCAAGTATATGCTCATGACAGTATTTATCGGGGTCAGGTTACTACAGAGAGATTCGGGAAGGCATCTGATAAACCTGGGCATGTCTGTTGATTGCATAGCGCAGAAAACTTGAAGCACTTTGAGTATGTAGCTGTAGGCTTAACTGCAGGTTGAACTTTAGGGTTTGATTTTGGTTTTATGATGTTCCACAGTCATGAGTTCTTTCTGCACAAATTTCCTATGGGTGTCCATATTTGGTACGCTTTAAAGGTGTCCTTTTACCTTCAGGAACACATGCATCATGTCCTGTTTCGTAGGCACCTTTATGCGTGAATGTAAAGCTCTGTTCAAAACTAAATTATTCTCTCTTTCAAAAGCCTGTGTCAGATCTTATTAATTAGCCATCACCAAGCTTTTCACTTGAAATTTTAATCCAGATAAACTCCAAAAGTTTCTCTTCTGTTATTTCCTCTCTGATCATAGCCTGCTTGAGAATGCTGCTTGTGATGTGATAGGTACGGCCCTACCCATGCTTCAGGGTCCCAGCAGGTGCCTAACAAAAAAGGGCAGGAGTTTTCCTTGCTTGAACATGTTAGCTTGGATGTGAATTCTTGAAATAATGGCTTAACTTCACCCAACTGCTAGCAATATAGTTCCTTTGCCAATTTTTTTCTGTGTTCCTTTCTGGCCTAAGCCATTGTCAGCCTCTGCAGCCATTATGGAGAGACCCTCATGGGTCACGTGGGAGCGTAGTACTGGTTTTCTTGCTGTTGAGCTTGGGTTTTGCCTAACGCTCTGGAATAGCTCACAAATTGACGACATACCAGGTGAGGCTGCTGGCCTTGGAAGTGAAGTGTTGGTCAGCAAAGACATGGAGAGAGTAGTTTTTAACAACCAAAGCCTTAATACAAAATTCTGTTTGCTCATCCCAATGTTATTTTTTGCTACAAGTAATTCCTGAACAGGAGTCAAGCATTTAGCTTCACCAAGGAAATATTCACCTAGGAGAATCAAATGGCTTGTCCACGCGTAAGGGTTTCATCAGTCTTCAGATGTGAAGTTGCACTGGTTTAGTTGAACTGTTGTACCTGCGTATGTGGGTGTGCCTTGGTGCTTTTACACTCATCAGCTTACCCTGCTTGTAGCAGACAGGACAGTCTGGAATGAAGTGAACCAGCTACGCGCCCACATGTAATTCTAACAGTTAAATTATTTCAGTATCATACTTCAATTATATTTATGTAGACCATGTAAAAGATGGAAATTTAAATAGGTTGGAGATTTTGGTTTTTAATCCGGCCATTTCAGTTTTTCCTAACTAATTCCAAAACATGAAGCCAGTTAAAGTAAGCACCACCACATTTCATAGAGGTATCCTTTGTCAACAGAGGACAGAAATGTACGCTTTTAATTTTTCAAAAGATGCAATAATACCGTGAAAATAACTGATTTAAACCTCTTCTCAAATTTTGTATGTTTGTCTTGAAAAAAAAGTATTTTCAAAAACTCTGTTGTAAGTAAAAGATTTTCATATATATGTTTGTGAGCATTTTTGTGTTTATTCACACTTAGTTAATATCTACCTGAAAATATTGTTTTGTTTGATGAAGAATTGAAAAATAGGTTGGGGTTTTTTTTTTCTGGATTTGAGAGAGACACTTTTGTTAACAGCTGTAAACACTGAGGAATAAAGTACTGTACTTGAAGTTATTTGCATCACTTGCGTAGTGTGATTTGGGTCCACTATCGTATGTTCTTCCTGTGTTTGTAAGGAGGAATTCCTGATGGTGATTTACAACAGTGATGGAACTTACTTTTTCTGATAATGAAAGATAACAGACACATTTTGACCAAAATGGAGAAGGCTGTAGATAACAATATAGGAAAATTTCAACAGACAGGGCATGTCACAAATAAACATATCCCTGTTACATTGTCTGGGATTCCTAAGGAATCTCAGTAAAGTTTTTTCTTAGTAAAAAAAAAAATTAGGTAGGTCAATGCGATCATTACTTCTGTCTTTATGTAAACCAAGGAAATATCCTCCAATTACTTCTGAAGTTTTCTTTATTTAATTTCTGTAATTATGAAGTAAAACACAACTTGCTTTGTACATATGCAAGACTGTAGAGCAGATTTACCCATATAAATAGGAATTGTGTTTTCAGTAGTTCGTCTGCACTCCTTGTCTCCTTCCCTCACCTCCCTCAGATGACTGAAGCTAACTAACTGAATGAATGTTCATGACCCCACATAAAAACATACTTGAGATAAGGTATTTTGAACTTTCCTACAAGGTAAAGAATAGCGAGTCTTTAGGGTGCTACAGTGCTGCCTGTATCGTAGCCAGCATTAGCAGACGCTACAGAAGCCTTGTTTAAACTTGGCTATCATGCTGTGAAGTCCTTTGCAAATTAGCATTCTCAACGAAAGTGAGAGAGTGTGCTAATGAAGAACTGTGCTTTGTAATACTTGGAATAGTGAGTAGCAAAACAGTGTCTGTACTGTGTCAACCACTAGAATACCAAAAGAATAATCTGCAAATACCTAGCTTCCTCAGGCAACGTTCCAAGGCTCACAGAAGGTGAAGCTAGACTAGGGCCTCTGGTACTAGGTTAATCCTGCGGAAGTGTCTCAGATGTCAGAGTCAGGGAAGATGAATGTAGGATGTTTAGATTTCTTTGAGATACAAACTCAGAGGCATGAAGTGCAATTTTAATATTTTTTCTATTATAAATATTAAACCGAAGTCTTACAATTTATATAAAATCTTTACAATCTGTACACTTTTTCAATCTTCTCAAACAGCATTAAAACAGAAGTTTTTCAAGTTGCCACAGAGCTCAGTTACCACAAAATAACAGATTGCTACTGTAACAAAAACGTATTTCCAAAAACATATATAAGCTACTTGAAAGGCAGTTCTGTTTAATCTGCATATGAACAGTAGCCCTGCCTTGTTAATTGTGATATTACTCAATCTATTTACTTTTATCTTTAAACAATCCGAATTCACACTTAAAAAATAAACAAGGGGGGGCCACTTGTTTTTTCCTCCTTCTGTATGTACATGAAACAGCCGAGCCTGGAGAAGGAATAAAGGTGAGTGCTTTTCATTTAGATTAGCCATGACAAGATACATTTCAATATCGGTGTTTGCTAACGTTGACTTTTAAACAGCACTTAGTACTTAAATTGTATCTTTTTTCCTAGCATAAAGCAGCAGCTTGAGGATTAATACAGATGTGAGTGATTTTTGTTTAGTAGCTTTGCCAGTTTTAGCAGTATCCCTGTAGTCAGTTTGTGCTATTAGTCTTTCATGCAGCAAAAAGGAAGTCCCAAAAGAAGCAAGAAGGGACTACCACCATAAAAAACCACCACCACCACGAAAGAAAAAAACACCGTAAGAGGCTTTGGGCAAACAGAGAACCTGGAGGTACTCTGAGGGCTCTCCCGATATCAACTGACTTCTTTGAAGCAGGAACTTTTCAGCATACATGAGGCACCACATACTTGTTCTGTAAGATATTCCTGCAAACAGATCCCTTTTAAGTCATTTAGATTGTAGGAACAAGACGACAACACAGAGAAACATCAAGTTAACATTTAAGACTGAACAAATCTATGGTCATAACTCAATTTGCAGTGTTAAGTACTCAACCTAGTAACACAGTAGCCTTTGGGCCAGCTGCTGGGAATTTTCTTTTTAAATAAGAGTTTGTTCATGATCTCCACCCCCCAGCGTAGACAAAGTATATGCATACGCACAAATTGCATTAGAATCCAGAGTTCAGACCACAAGCAAGCAGTTGTTTTAGCTGCACAACAAGATTTATGAGCCCTAGCTGCTCTTTTGGGGTATTTTTGAAATACATGAAAGATATTCAACTTTTATCTTGTTTATTTTGACTGTTGCAGAAACAGACTTTTATTTGCTAAATGCCTATCAGGAGTACGCCTTGCTGTAGTTCCCTGAATAGAGGACAGAATCAAGAAGCATACAGAAAATGGGCAAAGCAAGTTTGCAGGCATGACCTGAGAGCCATTCTGATTGCTTCATTGATCAAAGTGCAATTCCATCTTCATTGTTAATAATTCGGGTTTAGTGTATGAGGAAAAAAAGCTGCACAATCTTCACAGCTGCTGGTTTGTGTCCTATGCATTTCAGTTATTTACAGTAAGGTAACAGAAAATCTACTACTACTACTATTTCCCTCCATTTGTTTTTACTTATACATGGAGATGCAAGCACAATCCAAGTTCAAAACAATTTATAATGACTAAACTGGCAAGTAGTTTCAAATGGACTTTCATAAAAAAAGCATTCATATACTTGATAATGACTGTAAATTGTGGATGGAACATACATTTATACCACTTTGAACACAAAGCACACATGCTATTGTAATAGGTTGACTAAATTTCAATCTATAACGGACTTGTAACTTACAGGTTTTGAGGAGCATTAAGTAGACTCTGTAGATAAATATATCAAAATCATAAGTTTCTGATGTTTAAATGCGTGATGACAAATCCCTGCCTGATAAATGCGAGCAAGTTTTATACAACTGTAAGCA